ATTAACACGTGCTTTTCATACTAATAATAATAATATGAATTAAATATGATTAGTACGAATTATAAATAATATAGAATAAGGTAATATAAAAATAGAATGAAATAGAATGAAATAATATAAATATAGAATGAAATAGTATGAAAATAGAATGAAAAGTTATAAAAAATAATATGAAATAAATATAGATAATATAAAATAAATATGGATATGATTTATAAATCAATTATTCAATGAAAATTAATTATGAAAAGTCATGTGATATGCTAAAATTCATATCACAACAATACAATTATCTTTGAATCTTTCTGGTCTTATTCTATCTAACCAACAAAATGAACATATGTTATCTATCTTTAGATAACTTAGTAAACTTTTCCAACTTAAAGTTATTTAATATGTCAATTCTCCCACCTGACTCTATCACGTGTACTCTCGTGATAAAATATAAAGATATATTAAAATGGTAACAATATATATAAAAAGTTATAAATATTAAATTCAGATAATTTTATATATTTTGATTAAAATTAAAACAAAATCATATAATTTTGTCACATGAAAATTAATTTTATTGGTTAATTTTCAAAAAAAGATTCATTAATTATCACGTGCACAATATTTTATTGGTTCAAGATAAAATTACAACATTATTATGATGTATTATGTGAGACATGCAATATTATTGGTTGCATTATATAATGTTATATTACATTGCATAGTTAAAATGTTCGACATCATAGTAAAATTTGCTGGTTTAAGATACCTTGCACTGTGTTCTTCAAATAAAATTAATCAAAAATTACTAAGTGAATTGTCCTTCACTTGAAAGCCAGCCGCCACCTCGATGGTGACTCATGCTTAACAGAACTAGAGAAAGAATAACTTCCAGTAAGGACGGTGACATGAAGTGGCAAAGGCAAGATTTACGTGATGCTGAAATCAAAAGTAATGAGCAAAATTGACAGGATGCGCGTTTGTAACAAGAAAAGATCGTTGAAACAGTCAAATTAATCATTAGATCTTCGCACCATGAACTCTTATATTGGTTTAATGAATATAAGTGGGATAAGAGACTATGAATTAAAACATATATAATGATAATACATCCAATATAAAGTATCTAAAACGTCTATTCATAAAGTTCATCATATTTTCACTAATGATTCATTGATGATGTTCTTTACTACTACCGTTCTCGTTTGAATTATCCACATCAACAACATAATTAATCCTCTCACCGTTCTTTACAACCTCAGAAATGTCATACGGCATCCAGCTCTTTACGTAATTCGGGAACACGACACCATACATCACAATCCAATACAACACACCAAACAAACTGCCCGTCAATTTCTCGTTAAGATTATGAAAAAAGATCCCAGTCATAAAAAGCATCCACCACCACACGCCCAACAAAAAAAGCAACGCCCGCGTCACCATTTTATGCGTGGTTTTTATCACCGGTCGGAAATCACGATACCGATATGCGACAATGCTGAATTCTTCGCAGAGGAATAAAGACGCGTGAATCAAGAGGAAACAGTGACCGCTAACATCGTGACCGCCGATCCAACGACCTCCATTCGTTTTACATGCGTACGCTTTCGTGTGGATCATGTAGGCACCTTCTTTTATGCATTCGCCGCCGGTCCACAAGAACACTTGATCAATTATAGACGGACCAAAGAACCACTGGGTTATTATAAACCAATATGCAGTGGCAAGAAACCACCGTATCGCAGCTTTCCATCGTGCTTTTTTTGTGTTTTCTAGAGAGTCAGTGTCACTGTCATCGTCGTCGTGTGTGGCAGTGAATTTTCTTTTCGGGTATAGCGGATATACTACTTTATATGCGAACAAGAAAAATAGTAGTGTTGTCCAGAACCAACCATTTTTAACTAGCCACACATTAAATATATTTGATTTTTTGGAGAAATAACTTGGTGGTGGGCGTGCAATGGTCCAGTAAATTGAGCCCAGTATCACCGTTGCTGGATAAAGTAGCAGTAGAAGTATTTGTAGACTTAATGGAGAGAAGTTTTTGATTACTGTCATTGTTTGTTCTGTCTTTTCTTTTTACCGAGATTAAATGCAATTATATAGTTTTGGGTTTTTCACGTGAATACCGTATATCTCCGAAAATAAGCTATACATCATTTTTGACACTTCAAAACAAGGGGAGTAACTAACCAAGTTTACATATACTTTTTGCACCCGATTTTGGGCTGAAAAATGGGGGAGTAGCTTATTATCGGAATTCGATATAAATCTGTGCTCGGTTCCTGATCACATGATAACAAACCAATAATAATGCGCAAGTCATATGTGTGCCGGCAACTATTAAAGGTTGATTTTAGTGTTTCCCACATTTTTCGTTTTCTTGTGTCGGATTTGTACTGATTATATAAATGCATTATTATTATCAATATAATTGATAATAATCTCCATTACAGATAGCTTTATCTTCCTGATGAAGGTATTGGTATATGCACTTGGGACAAAGTCACCGAGCGCTTTTTTCGCGAAATAATAGTGGTGGAACTAATAAAAAAACTTGTATTAACGTTAATGTATTCTGAAATATGTTATACTAGAATTTCAAGCTTTTTTTTAATTATAATAATTAATAAAGTTATAGTGAAAATACTTGAAATAATCGCTGTTTTTGAAATAGTCCGATCGGCGAATTTTGTGATGTCCCAATGATTACTGTGATTATAATTGTAACGGAAGTGGAACATATTAGTATATTAATATACTAATATGTTCCACTTGCTCGAGACTATAATGTCCTAGGACAGTATAATCTAATGATTAATATGTTCCAGGACATTATAGTCTTTTGATTAATATGTACCCATTTAGACTATAATGTACTATTGTTTTTGTTGTTCTATAGGCTTTTAATGTTGAGATGATGTTATGGGGCATTATAATTTAGTTGGATACATATTAATCAAAAGACTATAAGGTCCTGGAACATATTAATTAATAGACTATGATGTCTTAATACATATTAATTAATAAAATATAGTAACCAAGTTGGCTGACCTTTTGTTTCTGTTTGGATGCTTGGTTTTATGATGATGATGCTGGCCTCTTGTGCCTGTTTGGTTGCCTTTCAAAGTGCTGAGTTGGTGTAAAAAAATACGTCAGGTGACGCAGTAAATTTGTGATTAATTTCAGCCGGCACTATAGCATA